TACACTGAACTACTTTCCCTTTTCCTAATGAATATCATCTCCACTCCCTGCCCCAACAGTGCCCTTTCTGTTTTTTGAGTCACCTTAGGGAGATTGCCCACTTGGACATCAACGTATAAACTCAAACTCAATATGCTCAAACTCGTCAACCTGCTCTCACTTTGGAAATTAACAACAATGGCCCCACCAATCTCTCACATCTCCAAATTGAGAACCTTTACATCATTACCTTTCCTCTCTCTGTTGTCTCCCATGCACAGCCATCCCATTAATGATTTTCAGAACTCACTTTCAAATTGATCTTTTCACCTCATTCTCATGACTACCATCATGGTTTGAGCTTGAGCTTTCATTGCATGTCTCGAAACAGCCTCGTCACTTCCCTTTCTATACTGTTCCATACATCATTGTATTCATCTCCTCCAAAGAGGAAGGAAAAGCAGATATTACTTTCAGATGATGATAATACCTACATTTACTGAGTATTATGTGCTAAACATGGTGCTATGCAGCTCACATGAATTACCTTGTTCAAACCTCACCCTATGAAGTAGACACCATCTTCATTTTCCAGATGGTATACTGAGGCTCAGTGAGGTTAAATAACTTGCCCCAGGTCACATGGCTAATAAGTTATGCAGCTGGGAAAAAAACAAGGTAGTTCTTTATCCACAGTCCATGCCCTTAAATACAGTACTCTATTTTCCTACCTAACAGAAGAGGAAAATAGCAGGCAGGTGATTTTATCAAGGTCACAGTTCATAGGTAGTAATGGTGCTAGTATTAGAACACTGGTCTCCAGATGCTTAGTTCAGTGCTTTTTCCTAGCATGCCACAGCACCTCCATAACCAGTCCATTGTACTTACCTGACCTGGCCAGCCAGACAACTCACTGCTCTGAGCACTCCTCTTCTCCAGATTACCATCTCCTCAGTAAAAGATGCTAATTCCCATATACATGCTTCTGGATATGTGATCAGAATCTTCTCTTCTACCAGGTCAAATCCCAGTCTCCCTCCCATATCTGGCTCCTTAAGGGTACATTCCTTACATATGTTTTCTCCTTATCAGACTGTGGGCATCTCTTCTGTATCCCTCACCAGCCCCTACCACCAGGCCCTATTTCTATAGGGTGCTCAAGTTAGGCTGTCACAGCACCTTCTGAAGTAGCCACCACCTGCCTTACCTTTGCAGGACCCTCTCTCATCTTCTTGATCTGATCCTTATACTTCACTAGTTCAGCATCCAGTCGAGAAATCTTTTTGTCAATGGATTCCGCCCTGCTATCCACCTTGTGGGGGGGAGAAAATCAAAGGCAGTGGTAGTTATTGCAATACACCTACATGGGAAGGGGCAGAGAGAAGAGGAAAGACTATGGAAGAAGAAAAACAAAAATAAACACATGGTAAAGAGTGGAAAACAGCGATTCCCAAAAGGGGGAGGAGATTCTCAACCAGAAAACACCTGGAGGCTTTTACAAACTATACGTCATTACTGCCATTACCAGATTCTGATATACTAGGATGTGTTGGCCCAGAAAAATGATTTGAGAATCATTAGGCTGAATTGCGATTTCCCTGGAATTGGAGGCTAGTCATGATAAGGGCTCAACCAGATGGGGTGTGAAACAGGCTAATGTCCAATGGATCCCTGCTAGGGCTGTAGATCTAATGCCATTTTCTAGGTAGGGGATGGGTAGTTTAAAGTGAGGGGCCAGGGTTCTGAATTTTGTTAATGAGGTCCAGGTAATATGGAC